ATGTGAGGTTTGATGTTTGCCACTGAGCTGATGGCTTGTTTTCCTTTTGTTTGTTTTTGATGTTTGCCACCGAGCTGATGGCTTATTTTCCTTTTGTTTGCTGTTTGCCAGTTATCTAGGATGTTTGCGCCTGGGTATATAGGAGATAGCTTACCTCTAGTGGCAGAGGGGGATATACATGAGTTATTTGGTTCACAGTCTACGCACCGGTAAGAGCCCCTCCGGCATCACTCCCACGTTGCAGCGGATCCTTCTTCAAGACAAGAAGAATTATTTAACGATCGGCTTACAGACTTTGTACGATCGCGTCTCGGTCGCTGGACAGAACTCTGCTACCGCCCGCAACGCTACATGGAACACATTTCCGTAGTGCCATAAGACGCCACACTCGAGATCCCAGTGGAAAGTGCATTTGCAGACCAGGTTCAGCGACGTCAGCGTAGGGACGGACTTCCGTTTGGAACAGAAAGCGCGGCTCAGATGGGGAAAGGAGAATTGGTGCGAAGTCATGCCCGAATGTGATCAGCCCGACATTGATATGAAATTCCCTTCTTGCCATGGTGTACCGGGTGGGTATTTGGGGCAGGGAGAGACTTGAAGCATCTTGGATGAGGGCTGATGAATACTTCCATATTTCAGGGAGGTGCTTAGGTACACTAGTCATGAGCTGGTTTGCTTTCGCTTTCTTCAAGGTAGCACCGAGGGCTTCTAGCTCTATTGTTGCTGAGTCTTATGTGTAATTGGCTGCGTTGTGACTTTGGGGATTTCTATAAGTTTTTATTCGTCTCTGGACACTCGTTATACGACAATATATTGTTAAACATGAAAACAGCCTTTCTGTATCAAGAGTGCAGAGCCCGCGCGGAGAGGACTTCTGTCATGTTCTTCCCTGCGCAAGAGATTGCTTGAGTCGGTTGGTCTTCATGCCACAACAACTTTCCACATCAAACGACCTTGCCCGGTCAGTTGCTCATGGATTCAGTTGAGGGTGCGCAGTTACTTGCAAATGAGGCACGGTTCATTTGAGCTGATATTGCCTGATGTCGCTCATATGGAAGATTGTGCTACGGTACGCAACCTGCTGCGGGGCGAAGAGCTTGCATGCATGTGTGTCCCTGCTTATTGTAATGGATATTGTCCGAGAAACAACTCCACAACCACATGCATCGCATTCCTTCCCACTTATTTAGCCCAGCTATACTTACCAAAGCCTGGAGGAGCGTTTCTTGTTCCTTGATAGCTTCTCGATCAAATTACTGGATTTCTGTTACAACGCAGCGGCCAGACTTCCATTTCGCCTAGCATGAAGTTAGCAGCTCTCCTTGTCGCTCTTACGACCATACTGCCGGCTTTCGAAGCTCATTGTACGATGTCTCGCTCTCAAAAAATTACATGTGCTTACCGTGAAACAGGGATCTTCTCTGTTATTTCTGTTAACAGCGGCGCTCGCAGCAACGCTTGGCAATACGTCCGTAAACTCGGACCTGGACCGCCTCCTTACTCCGACCCAGACCCCCTGGTTAGAGGCTGGCCGCATCAAGACGTGTTCTCCGACGAGATTCGCTGTGGAAGAGGAGCGTTTGCAAGCGCAAAGACGACAGAAATCTTGCTACTTCAAGCGGGTGATGAAGTCTCGTTCTTCCCTCAGCCGAATTATGAAGGCGACTTCGATGGCCGCGAAAATGTGAGTGCGCACGTGCTTGAGCCGTTGAGGACCCGAGGCAAAGCTAGAGTCGTTGCTACCAATGAGGTTCTCGGTCATTGACACTAGGGAGTAGTATACCCAGACGATGTACCATCCCGGTGGAGCACAAATTTACCTGTCCCGAGCTCCCAATGACGATCTCGTAAATTACGCCGGAGACGGCGATTGGTTCAAGATCAAACATATTGGAACGACGGATGGGAAAACTTGGGACCTATATGAGAAGAGCGAGATATGTTATGCTCTGTCAATGTTAGAGCAATAAAGAGAGTACCTTAGGATGCTGATACTCCTCCACAGCTCAACGCTACCATTCCAAAGACCACACCATCCGGAAAATACTTGCTCAAGGTGGAATACATTGCCTATCATAACGCCCTTCGTGTTCAAGGGGCCGAGTTTTTTCTCGGGTGCGTACAAGTGGATGTTAAAGGTCCTGGCGGAGGCGGGTCAGCTTTCCAAGTAGCGTCGCTTCGTGGCTAACGATGATAAGGCAATCCTGGGCCGATGATCAAGTTTCCCGGAGCGTACGATTGGTTCGACAGATGTATGTCAAGTGCCAGCTATCTCTTCATACTAAAGTGAGGTACTGACGCAACCAGCGATATGGCGCCCTCATTCAATGAGATACTGGGGCGATCGCCCTAGAGATGATTACAAGAACCCAGGACCCGAAGTTTGGACGGGGTAAACTGAAGCGGCACTGGAGATAGCCATTAGGACATGGTCACTGGAGAGAATATGGTCTACGAAGTCAACGAAGGTTTCGTCAAGTAGTTGTTACGTGTATCAATCACATTCTTGAACCGTGTGCAAATCCGTACTGGATAATCTGTTAGGCCGAGGCGCGGTGTTAACATCCGGCGGCGGTATATGAAGATGTAAAAGTTATGTACGCCTAAAATAATCGATTCTACGTGTTAACGTTACGTTCCAGCACACAGCATCACTGACCCTGTAGGAATTCCTTAATGAGTTATTTGTCGTGAATCGAGATCCATCTCGTAGTAATGTAGCTTATCCGTGGTAGGAAAATGGTATGATGTAACCGTTACAGATAACATTGAGACCTGGCTGGGGTGGCTGTGCTCAAGCGTTGTTTCAGGTTACGCGGATGATCGAAACCACTACATCTTTCTCCATCTTCTGCTACCAATGGATGGTAATAACGATGGGCACTACTTCAGTTTTTATGGGGACTATCTCGTTGTTTCTGAATGCTTGTAATAATACATGTAGCTCTACAGTAGCTGTCCGATCTCAGATGGTATGCTAGGAAACTTTTCCAGACAATTGAATATGGGCCCCTAGTTTGTGTTCTACAGAAAAAACCAGCAATACTCTCTTGACACATCGTGAGCAGGCACGTAGTCTTGGAATGCTGAATATAAACTACAGACAGATTCATTGGTGACAGGACTTTCGCAAATGATCGGCACGGAGAACAGTAACTTCAGCTTGAACGCGCCACGTTCAAGTCCATGCACGACTTAAACTCCACTACTTAGTCATCTCTTATGTCATTGATAACCATATAATTTCCTGATTAGGATCGCAGGAATTTGATCCAGGCCGGAGTCACGTTGCCGACGTAACGTACTACGGCCGTACTTAGCTTCCGCCCCCATGGGGATGGTTTACGCTACCCGTGCACAGTAAGATACCTGAGAGCTAACTACTCCGGGAACTATAGGTCGGGAACGCTATACTGGAGTTACGTACATAAGAACCACGTGGATAAAAAAGGTGCAAGGAGTATCCCAAAGAGGAATGCATAGAAACGGCGATGATCTTCATAATGAGTGATGGAGGTAATTTGAGTCCGGGAGATTGAACAGATTCAGAGACATATAAATATCACCTCGTTTGCCCTCCAGTCAACCATCAAACCACTCCAAGCAACATCTAATCCTCTCTCAGTTCAAGACTCCTGAAAGTCACTACTACTACCACTACTACCATTACCATCTCGAACACACTTCTACTATCGCAATCATGCGCTTCAAAATTCTCATCGCTATGGCCCTCGCCACTGCTACCGCAGCCATGCCTGGTACGCACATGCAGTCCCACCAGTGTGCTCCTCCTTGTGCGAGCACACTGTGCCCATGCGCTGAATTCTACTGAGTCAATATACCAACTAAATCCCACAGGCACTCTCCAGCAGCGTGCTTGCGACTGCAACTGCCAGTCCGACTGCGGGACCAACTGCGCAAACGGCTTTCCGACCAACCCAATCGGCTATTCAGCTTGCATTCTCGCCTGCGGCGATACCTGTGGATGTGGATCAAACACTATTTGCTGCACTGATGGGAGCTCGTGTGAGGGCAGAGGCTGCTGTGCTTGAGAGCTAGAGCCGGCATTTCGACTGTGGAGAAGTCTCTAGTATGGGCTGAGACAGCTACCTAGATGTTTGGAGGACTGAGATTCTGGAAATGACCGTGCAGATGATGACAGGCGTCTGTTCGTCTAGCTGTGGGCTTTTTAACCTCTGTCTACTTCCGCTCGTTTTGCTATAGGCACCCAATCAAATAAAGAAAATTACCAAAGGAATTCGCACTGTACCTGGTGCAATTGACTCTAAATGTCTCATGTGACGACTCACAGAATCTCCTGCTTTAACTAGGCTTATAAGAAGCCGCGATAGATTTGCTCTTTGCGGATGAGATATGTATGAAAGAGTCTATGCAATCTCCAGTTAGTCATTTCACACACACTTTGGCCCACTCGACTAGATATGCCCAGAGCACACTTTGAGCTCGTGGCCGTCCGATCTGCGCGATCAACCATCTACCGCGCATATCTAACCTTGGCTTGAAGCAGTCGTTCCTGTAATGTGAGACCCGGTAGACTCTACAGGCAGCCCTGCGCGAAGCGCACCGCCTGCCAATTGCTCGCCTAGCTGTGCTAGATGGAACGCAATCATCCTGCCGCTGGGCCGTGGGTGCGGTCGTAATTGAGCATCGATACAAAGTCTCAGGGAAAATATCTTATTATAGTGGCAGAGACTGTGATGATTCTTGCTGTGAATATTTTGGAGTTTGGTGGTTCAAAGGCAGGAGGACCAGAGGTGGTGAGCCATTGGGTTGTTTAGCGAGTCGAACCAGCCCACACTGGAATGATGCAATTGCAAAAGTCTGTTCAGCTAGCTTGTTATCGGGGCTTATCGCTCTCCTTTATGAAGCTGCCCTCCTGGTCCACAAGCTTTCGTCTCTAGATATATTTTTATTTGAGCAAAATTTTCATCAACAAGCTTGAATTAAACATCTACCCGAGTAATCTCGAGTCATGGACCGCGCCAATGGTCCAGCGGTAGGATAATTGCCTTCCAAGCAATTGGCAGGGGTTCGACTCCCCTTTGGCGCAAGCAAAACAGGACGAAAGCAAGCGTAACTTTTTCTTTCGTCACGTCACGGCAAGGAGTGATAGAGTTCTCTAAGCTTCTTTGTTGTGTAATGGGACGATGTGCCTTTTTTGCGCCTCCAACAGCAACTCCGCATCCACGCAGAATAGCATTTTCGCACAGATGCAGATAATACTCTACTCTAATTCTCTGATACTCCACGAGCAAAAGATCTGCAGGTGATCGACTGTCTCTGCACAAGGTCGGCACAGCCGAGAACACAAGCAAAGGACACGCATCTTTTCCCGGAGGACTCACAAACCACTGAACCACAACAGGTCATGCCACACGCCTATCTGTCTACAAGTCCGACCCCACACCGCACGCATGTCTCGTTTCAAAAACAATGAATATCTTCCATCCGCGGCACGGACCAGTTTCAGTCTGGAACAGAGGCATAGTTGGTCGTCTTAGTGACGGAGTTGACACGCGATGTCGTCCACAAACCTTGGTTCCAAGGCAGCAGCCTCGCTTACGCAGTCCCGATTGGTGTTGGAGACATCAGCCCTGTATCTGACTTCGGGGTCCGTCGGGTTCTGGGTTGCTCTTCTCGGCAGCGTGCGCTGTCTTTGCAGGCGGAGGGTCCGCTAAGGCAGCGCCCGCGAGCGAGGAGTCGGTGTACTGGGCTCGCGCACACCAGTCCTGTGGAGCGTTCGCGTGGGCTAGACGCCCTGCGGCGCGGATGATTGGCCGGCGACGGTTCGTGCTCACCGACATCCAATCCAGGTGTGATATGCGAGGGTATGCGCCAAGCGTGGGACTGTGTTCTTTGTGACCTGTTCCCGTGGAGGAATAACTGATACATAAGTTGAGAGGAGGCGGCACATGTGGACGTGAGCCGCATATCTGTCCTGAAAACTGCCCTTTGTCCTTTTGCGAAGCTATTTCAACACGCGCTGGCCCGGTTCTTCAACGCCCGGATAATATACTGGAGCTTGATACCCCGCAAACACAGTTCCACACGCATTGCCAATAATGCCGTCCTACGATAACGAGCGCTTTCAGCCCCCGCCGCCCATTCGCACTGGGACGAGCGGGTCCTCCAGCACAGCGTCCCCAGACATGCTGTCGCCCACATCGACATATTCTCGTGGACCTCGCTCGCCGACGAGCCCAGCTGAAGAATCCTTCTTCGGCGCCATTAGCGCAAAGATTCGTGGTCGGTCGCGCAGTCGGTCTCGGGTCGCAGCGTCGCGCAAACGCTCCAATTCGCTGATGGTGATGCCTCCTCAAAACATGCCACCAACCCGCACGGCGCATCCCGCCAGCCCAACACATGCGACGCAGCGACCCCAGCAGCCCCGACACGTCTCCTCCGCCAGCCAAAGCTCCATCGCGTCCAAACCCGCGCCGTCGCGACGTAGCACAAGCAGCAGTGACATGTGGCGCGGGCGTCATTCCAACTCGTGGCTCTTCAACGACTTCTCCTTCACCGAGACCGCGAATAAGGCGTTCGGACGCAAGTCCTGAAGCGATCAGATGCACATGCAGGGTGGTCTGCGACTGTTCCTGCACCCTTGGCCAGACAGCTGCTGGCAAGCGTCACACCCGTTGGGTGTCCGGTGGCATTTTACGACTCGTTACGGTATCGAATGAATACGGCGGGGTAATCAAAGTGGATAGTCTGTCGCTGGCTCGCATGATGCCCGCTGCTATGCAGAGCAATTGTTCCTTTCACTCATCTCTATTGAAGCAGGTGTACCCCGAGCCTTCTTTCCCTATACCATGTATATTAGTGCCAAATGAAGATGCTTCGTTCAATGAGATCGCGGTTTATTTCGTAAAAATTCTTGCTCCCGGTCGAGTGTCTCGTCCTTTGGTCCGGGAAGGAGTTCGCTGCGCACGTCACGACCGCATTTCGCGGTGCGCGATTCCTCGTCGCTGGTTCAAGCATAGTCCTCGAGGAAGAGGAGGAACGAGGTGGAACGTTGGGAGTGCGCGGTGTCCCTTGTCCACCTTTGCACTGCCCCCTTACTAATCTGGCGCGACCCACAGAAAATGTCGCAGTGCGTGGGCGCATTCGCATGCCTGCAACTCAAAGTCACCCGTGCCGACGTGAACAGCAAAGTGAATGCAGTGTGTTATTCTAGCTTAAGCTATACAGCGGCCGAATCAAGATCCCTTCTCCTTACCACTGTAAGGCGGACCCTCAGCCTTGAGAGGGAGCACGGGGATAAAGAGGATGCGGAGAGTTGCAATGGCTTCCGAGGTTGTAGGATGTAACCGCTATCAACGTCTGAATTTGAATACATCGCGTGTTTTAACACGCACTACCCCACGTTCTAATTCACATGTATTCACGTACCTCCGCGTATCCATGGCCAGTAGTTCCAACTACCCCATGCCACTGATACCATCCTCCGTGGCGCGACAGCTCGTGTATTGAGAAGCATTTCCGCCTGCTCATCGTTGAAATTTTTCGATATGATATTCTCCACGGTATCATTGAGCGACGTCGTTCAATATCTTGCCGCTCCGTTCTCCAAGAGGATCTGTGTGGTTATGAAAACTCTTTCATCCTTAGTCTTGATATCACCGCGAGCAATGGTAGCGAGGAAATGCTCCCAAGGGGTTGTGTCATGACCGTCGGCTTTGCAAAAGAGAACATTCGGGTTAGCGCCGCTCTCTAGGAGATAGCTGATAATGCGAGGGTGAATGGCCCAGCGCTGTGAAGAACTAGACGTCTCGCATTGGGCAGGCGGCTGGAGTGCATGGTCTAAAAGTGGGCTCCTCAGGTTAGGGCCTTGAACATTTGGAACGGTTCCCATCGCCTTCAAAAAGGAAAGAACATTTGCATGGCATGCCAATGTTGAATATAAACCCTTTTCTTCACGTCTCCCAGAGTAGTCACGGGCCGTCACGAAGCACTCCTCGGCGTCCTGCAACAGACGTATGAGCGTTGCGTGGTCGTCGAGATTCGATTCCGCTTCGTGGGCAAAATAGAACAAATCTTCTAGCAATCGTCGCATATTCTTCCAGTTGCTTGCACAGGACGAGGCGCATCTAATAGTTGCCAAAGTAGCCGCACAGAGCAACAACCAGCCATTTGTTCGGATGTCTACAAAACGATGATGCTCAGTCATACTTCGAATTTGTGGAGAATCGAAACGAAAGTCGCGTACTGTCCGATGGAGGAAATCCACCTTGTATTCGAAGAAGGGATGGCTGCAAGGCTCTTCATCATGGATTATCTCAAGCAGGCCCCGACAACGACCATCGAGGCGTCGCCGCATTTGATCGGCCCGTGAACGAACTTCTGTCCCATATATTATTGAGAACTTCTTTCGTCGAAGGAAACGCGGCAGGTCGTCTGCTACATCATCTAGAAGAGAGTAGACCATGAGCAGCTGTGGTTGGGTCACTGACGTCGCTAACCAGACTGATCGTGCAGTCTCTAGCAGGTAAATATCTGGAATAGAGTCTATCATATGTTGAAAGTAACTTTCAAGGTCCGCCGGAAAGCGACGTAGACGCTTCTGAAGGATTTTGACCGTGTCACTGTGCGAAAATCCTTCGAGAAGATCCCTGACAACAAGAAAGACCCACAGAAAGACTCCATGGGCTTGGTGCGTTATCTCCTCGATGAATTCGTTGTATATTGTACTTGTGCGACTCATAATTCTAAACTGCGAGTTCTCGTTGAATTTGTCGGTAACGTAACGGCGAATGTCATCCTTGGTAAGATCCTCAACTTTGAGTAGTTGTTCTGGATTCTCTCCGAACGCGTCTGAGAACATAACCCATGGTCGGCTAGAAACACAGAGCTTGATCTTATTGGATGATACAAGCATTTGTAGAGTTTTGATGAGGTCGGAATGTGTTTGTCGGTCTTCCTCAAACTCATCAAGCCGGTCGATGAAGAAACAAAACTTGACCCCAGTGTTGTGGCAGTGTTCCATTAGAGATGAGTAAGCCTGCGAAAGCTCGTCCATGCTCCAAACGTCATCCTCGTCTTGCGGTCTTGCGGCTCTCGCCAACGACGCCGAGCGATTTTCATTCGCCACATAACGTATCATGTCGGGACACTTACGCAGTATTTCGAAGAGGAGAGAGCGCAGCAAACCTTTCCTGGATTTTTGAAGTCGTGTACTGGAGTTCCAGAAGAAAAATTTGGCCGTCACGAGCCTGTGGCAGCCCGTCCATTCACGAAGCATCTCCTTGGTTGTTGGATGATCAGATATAAACTTCATGAGTGTAGATTTACTGATCCGGTCTTTCCTTGGATCCAATAAGTTCCCGTGCCTTTCTGTAACCACGTCGTGAAATTTGGAAATATGGCCTTAGTCGAGCTCTGAAAAATCCAGTTGACGGTTTTCGCGTGCGCATTATCGACTCTTCGCTATCTAGCTTCTATTTTACTGAAATGCAGACTTCCCAGGGACTCGTTGTTGAGCTTAGTAGTGATCCGTCCCTCCCTGAGAGCTCTGACAGAATCGAGCAAGAACAAGGTGTCTGAGCCAGTCATGCCGATTTGCACAAATGTTTCGTGGTCGTCAACTCGAAGGAAAAGTTCTAAGACTTTCAACATGCCCTTCTGTGTTTCGCGCGTCTCTTCCCGCATCTGATCAAGCTTGGCACTGATTTTGTCCGCTACCTGGTGGAGCTCGTTCCATCCGGTGACACCGAGGTTTTTCGATGTTTGCTCCAGGCTAACAATCATGTCGGACTGTTCGCGTAGATGCTGGCTAATAACGAATTAGTATGTATTGCATTGAGAAAGGTGGAAGTTGTCCAGAGACGCAATAATTCGCTCGACCTTTCAGCAAGCTTGAATCACTCACAAGATCAAGAAATCGATGTGGACAGAGACTTGTTCCTGTAACTTGCCAAGTCTGTCGATGAATCCTTTTATTTTGTCCTTGGTCCATATGCCTTTTAAAGCTGCCCGAAAACAATCCCAGCGTCTCTTTGTCATGGGTACTTTTCTGTTGCCGCTGTCTTTCACGCCAAAAGCCTGGATCAC